CTTAAGGACAATTGTGAGTACTCCCCGGGCAACATGCCTCAGAAAAATAAGCGTAGTAAAAAAAAGGACAAGAAGAAAGCTGCGGCCTGTTCTAAAGATGCATGTTTGCCGATTGCGTCATCCTCTCTGTGTTCGCGCTCGTCAACATCAGATACGTCCATCATGTCCATGGAATCTCTGAGTGAAACTCATAATAAGCGCGCAGCCTCGACAGCCTTCGATACACCAGAGGAGTCCCAGCATGCAGAAATCCCTCGATAGAGCCAAGCTAAAAAGGTATCACGTCATGTTTCACTTGATCGCGCCACGCGAGCACGATCGTGCAGTCAACAAAGGGTATCCAATCAGAATCCAGCAATTGATCACGTGTGTAACACACGCAACAAACAGTCCTTAAAACCGCCTAGTAACGACCTACCTAACAACAATAATCCGCCTCTGCCCCTGAAAAAAAAGATAGTTAATAAACATTTGCTCACGGATTCGGGTTCTTTTATTGTCCACGTGCAATATCAGGCAGACTCAAGTGCTGATTCAATGCATCCTATGATGGTTAGCCGCCTCATTAACACCGTAGTTGGCCAGGACATAAAATCAGTAAAGAAAATCGGTCGAGGTAATATACTTGTAAAATTTTTCAGTGCAAAAGCTGCTAACAGCGTGATAGCTCATCCTAAATTAAAGGAAAAAAACTTAGAGGCCCTCATACTGTCGTTTCGAGTCATGCAAACGGGAATAGTGAAGGATATATCCCTTAACCTCAGTGATCGAGATTTATTAACAGCTTTTGAATCTTCTGTTAAGATTTTATCTGCCAGCCGCATGAACCGTAAAATTAAAGAAAATGGTGAAACTCGTTTTCTTCCTTCGCGTACAGTCCTCTTGAAATTCGAAGGTCAAGCTCTTCCCCGCTCGGTCTCTCTATTCAAAATTTACTTGCCAGTTGTCCCATATATTCCCAGGGTGCTAATATGCTATAACTGCTTTAAATTTGGTCACATTGGAAGCACCTGCAAAGGAAAAGCCAGATGTATTCGTTGCGGTGAATTAAAGCATGACAAGCTCGAGAGCTGTCCTCGATTTCAGCTCCCCCCGATTTGTGCAAGCTGCAAGGGTGAACACCTCCCCACAACAGCAAGTTGCCCAATATTTATTCAACAGCGCCAAGTTAACATGATAGCTTTCTCGGAAAATATTCCCTTAGTGAAAGCACGCATCAAAATGAATTTCTCACCCTCCCCTAATCTGTCTGCTGACATTGTTTCCTCACATAAAGATT